TGGGTGCAGAATCCTGGTTGGGATCAGCTGATCCTCCATCCAGACTTGCAGAGAGCATCACTGGTTCCTGCTGGCTTTGTGTCCCTAAAAAACGGGGAGGGTGTCCTGCAGATCTGCTCATAACTGGAAAATCCATCTCCATAACTAGAAAATCCCATCTCGTGGCTTTGGGATCACAGGGCTCACCTCTGTGGCTTTTATTAACCAGTGCTGGGGTCATTCCAGGGGATTTCTGTGCTGCTGGAAAGTGAAGAGTGCAGGTGGAGAGAGCTGCAGAAAGCCAGGCAGTGACTTCATCCTCTAATAACTCCTCCAGCACCGTCTCCCAGGGAACCCCGTGGAATTCAATTAGCTAATTGTGTGCCTAGCACTCGGGAAAATACAGAATGCCACGGAAACTGCTAAGTGTTGTTATTTAACAGCACACATTTCGTGGTTGCAGCCCTGTAGTAGCAGTCAGAAAATCTACACTGTAATTGCCTGCTGGTGCCTGCTGCTGAATTTGCTGTGATCGGAGCAAGGCCTGGGGAATTTTTTCTTTCTCTAAAAAAGTTCATTAATTTTGGCTGCAGATCCTCCGGGTCTAATTTTTTTTTTTTTACCGAGTTCTCTTGAAACAGAATATTGACATGTGGTGGGTGTTTTCAAAAACAGAGGGGAAAGAGGGGGAGGAATTGATGCAAGGCAGGATCTGTGTCCCTGAAATTCACCTTGGCACAATTCCTGGTGGTCTCTGTGCCTCATGTTGGACTGAGATTGAGGGCCAAGTTTTGGCCAATTCCTGCAATTCCTCCAATGTAGAGAGAAGGATAAAAAAACCCTGAATGGGAGGAAATGAGGGAGCTGCTGTTTGCACCCATCATTTTGATGGCAATTTCTGAAAGCCTGTGGTTATAAAGCTGTGTTTGCACAGGTGGAGGAGGCCTGGAGTCCTCTCTCAAACAGGATGGCAGAGTTATTTTCCTAATGGCTCTTTGCTCTTATTGCATTGGCATCTTCTATCCTGCAGAAGCTCCAGCCAGCACTGGGGATGAGGGAGAACAACTCCAGGAGGAGAAAAAGGCAGCTGGGAATGTGTTTTATGTAGGAATATCCTTCAGTACATCTCAGGGAGAAATCC